CACCCTTACACATCAAGCTGGGTTTGATGAAGAACTTTGTCAAGGCCATTGACAAAACACAGGCAGCTTTCAAATACCTCCGTGGAAAATTTCCAAGGCTAAGTGAAGCTAAGATAAAGGAAGGTGTCTTTGTTGGTCCTCAGATTCGTGAACTTCTTCGAGATGATGCATTTGACCATGCACTGCGTGGCAAGGGAAAGACGGCATGGAAAGCCTTCCAGTTAGTGGCAATAAATTTTCTCGGAAACAGCAAGGCAGACAACTACAGGTTGTTGGTGGAAAACCTCCTCAAGGCATACAAAAGCCTTGGTTGCAACATGTCACTAAAGATACATTTTTTGCACTCTCATCTAGCTATTTTTTCCACCGAACTGCGAGCGACGAGCACGGCGAGCGATTTCACCAGGACATTGCAACAATGGAGAAATGCTATCAGGGCAAATGGAGCCCATCAATGCTTGCAGACTATTGCTGGACAGTGACAAGAGATGCTCCATTTAATGAATACAAGAGACAAGCCAAGAAGCGCCGAGTAGACACTGAATAGGACTAAACTATGTACATAATAGTTTTTTGCCTTTTGTTTCATAATCAATTTTATTTATATACCCCTTTTGCTGATTTTTAAAGTGTTACATAAACAGGACAGGTGAAATATTATCATGTAAAGCAACCATAAACACATGAAAAGACCTAGGTTTACAATCTATGATTAAAACTCTACTATCTACACAATATACATAGACATAAAATGTAAAAACGTAAATATCTTAGAAACAGTAGCCAATCAGTTGTTTTAATTGTCATATTTGAATTCAGCACATCAAAATATATAATAAACAGCACATTTTATCTCTGAAGCAGACGACTTCTCAAAAATTGTAGACCAGTGTATAATCAAGAGTAAATTTGCTGGAGTTATTATAGGCTGGTTTTAATACTGGTAGAGTGGGTTGTTTTTTTACATTATTGTAAATGCTTCAGGTAATCCAGAATTAGCAAATTCTGCTGTGTTGATCTGTCTGTCCTATTAAATATTTAACTTTTAAATTTTGGGGTGAGATTTATATAAGTGGAATTAAGAATTAACTTTTAAACACATACAACTAACTTTCTTCATTTACATTAAGATGCAAATTGTATTAACTTTTTGTTTCCATCTTGGAAGCAGCATATGATTCCTTTGGATCAAAATCTTCTTGCAACTTTTTCTGAAGGAGGCTTAATTTGAGTGTTTTTAGTTATCAGTGTAATGCCCTCTTTGTATAAATGACTGTGAGAACTTCCTTTTTGTAGCTAATATACAATTCTTAAACTGTAACATAGATCCATGTGAACATCCTTCTGCAGATAGAATTGAAGGGGTGGTGGCGGGGAAGATAGCTCAGTGGTTTGAGCATTGGCCTGCTAAACCCAAGGTTGTGAGTTCAATCCTTGAGGGGGCAGTTTGGGGATTTAGTTGGGGATGGGTCCTGCTTTGAGCAGGGGGTTGGACTAGATGACCTCCCGAGGTCCCTTCCAACCCTGATATTCTATGAGATCCATTGTCTTCCTCCCCAACTGGACACATGTTAATCTTCGATGGATTTATAAAAAGGAGGAGTTGATGAGGGTTCAATGTCTCAGGCGTGTCTCCTCTTTCTCTCAGAACTCTGAAAAAGCCTCTGCATCTGTAGATGCATCATAGACGTAGAGTTGGCAATTATCCTAATTCTCTTCTCCCCCCATGTGAGAGTCCCTAAATAGGTAGGCGAATGAGTGTTGCTGCTTTTTCCCAGTAACCAGGTGAAGAGATTCACATATAGCTGATACTACTAAGCAATGGTTCTTCTGAAAGATGAAGCTTCTGGAGAGGGTCAAGGGACAATACTTTGTAAGAGTCCAGTAATCCCCTTCCTAGAAGCTAGGTAGGCAGCTAAATTTTTATGGCTCATTTTTTATATTGGCCTGTGGCTAGTAGGTTTCTGGAAATCAGGGAATACTCAAACTTTCTCAGAGTGTAGACCACATCTTAATAGTCTTTTGAATATATCCCCTCCTATTAATAATTATGCAACATCCATATAGCAATGGAAGCAATTGCTTATAGGAAAAATACTAGGAAAGTATTCAGTATATTTTTGGCATTCTTTTAATTCAACTAATCTGAAAATGAGGAGTCCCACTTCCATGTGACAAGCCAGCCCTCTGTTTACCATCAGTAGTCCACAGATCACTTTGAGAATCTTTGTAATCCATTTTCCAAGCACTATTGATGCCACAAGTGGTACATCTGAAGCACAACTTGCTGTGCAAATGTTTAATGGGATTAATATTGCTTTAGAAGAATTTGTACTACTGAAAGATAGTGCCTGTCATCACGGTATCTCTAGGACTTGTCTTATTGTGCTATATGTGTACAAATAATCTGGGCTGGTACAATATCTCTACACACATGCCTCTTGCAGATTTATTTAACTCTTGTTCTCTAGTCCATAGAGGTGAATGATAGTTATATCACGGTAAATATTTTAGAGTAGACTCTGCTAGTTGTGTAAACAGTGAAGACAAAATGAAAGTAAATATTATCTGCATTTTATATTGTGCATCTGTTTGCAATCGAGCCCTTCCTTTTTTAGATACCATTGCTAAAACAAAATTGGATCTGAGATCTTTATGAAGGGTAACTAGTTACAGGATTTGTCTTAATTTTAACTTTCCATCAAACCCATTCCTTAAAGTAAGCGGAGAATCTATAATGCTGTAGTTGACAACCATCATGCCTGTATACTGTAGCTATTACTGGATATTTAAATGATCCAGCTAGCCTGAGGTTGTATTGTTTTTGAAGTAAATCTCAGCCTAATGCCATATGTATCTTTTTTTTTTTTTAACTGATTCTCTAAATATTTAACTACACTTAATTGGAGGGATAAGTAGGGTAATTTAGCTAAGGATAGGAAAGCCTTCTATCTTGAAATGTCATTTCTGAAGAGTATTGGAAATATTTGTTTTGGCGTTTGACTGCTACACTAAGGAGTTTTTAGTCAGATCTGTCTTTGCAATTTTTCATGTGAATTTTGTTAAAAGTGAAATTATCTCAAACTCCTTTCTGTTGGGGAGTAGGAAAGTAGCAGGCCTGTCTGCTTTATGGTATCCATAAACTTACTACTGCTTGAGTTAGAAGAGTGGGTACTGCTACTAATTCTAAAAATAGAAGATGTGGAGAAGACAGAATTATGGCTGGAAATCTAATGCACTGAAATAGAAGTAATATATTTATTACAATCTCATAAAGGCTTCCATTTTTAATATTCAAAATTTTGATTTACAGTTCTATTTCCAGAATGGTAAACAGCTGATATTGGCCTTAAAGCTCATTTTAAAAAATCCCTGTCTCCTACCAGATTCTGCAGAAGACTTGTTCACGTCAGTAGGTCCTGATCATGAAACAAGAAGTAAGAAGAAGCAGATAAAAATGTGGTTCAGCCCACGCAGTAGGAAGATCAGATGTGTGCTAAACAATAGTTCCCTTCAGAAGCAGAATCAACTGGTGACTAATAGTGGTTGCATTAACCAAGGCCCATCTTCTACTTTTGACTTCCTTCCTTCTCCTCCTCAAGAGAAGCCTTCCAAGATGACCAAGGAACCACCATCACACAGATCGAAGAAAAAACTGAAGAAAAAGAGTCTAGCAGACATCAACAAAGTGTGGGGTATAGAGAAGGAAAAGCAGAAAGAGGGCAGTGGAATCGAAGGGGAGACCCAAGATGAATTTAAAGAAAAGACTGTGACCTTTTGCAGCCAGTCATTAGTTCTATGCAGCCCCGAACCACATAGTACGGAAGAGACAATAGGACAGGAGTTTGTAATGGAAACCGACCTTAAGGATGGAAGAGAATCCCACTTGGAAATGGACACACAAGTAAAACCCACAGAGGATAAAGATAGCTCTGCACAAGTTAATACAATGAATGGTTTTAATACAGAGAAACCTCTGCCATCAGAAAATGAAATTACTCCTTTAAAGCGCGGAAGGCAGCAGTCCATATCCCCCACTATATCTCATGCTAAAAGACTGAGAAGAAGTGATCAGCGTGCTGATACGCACTCAGTCAACCAGGGTGTTTGCAATCCTGAGGTAACTGCCATGAGCATTGTTAAAATCTCTCCAACTACTGAACATGGAACTCCAGTTCATATCTCCTCTCCTGCATTTAAACTTACTGGTGGCACCTTATCAAAGACAAGAAGCTCTGCAATCTTTCAAGAAATCAATAGCCCTTCACTTTCGAAAACTCCCTCTACCCCATTCACTTCAAATACTCATAATCAAATGGAAACAACACACAGCCCTTCCCTCTTGAAGAAGTCTCCTAGTAATAACACAACTACCAAAAGGAATCACAGAGGAGAGTCCTTGCTCCACGTTGCTTCCATCAAGGTAGGACTTTCTTATTCTTCTGGTTTGAGACAATGGTTCAGTGGTCACTTTAAGACAAGTGCAAATGTTTTTCAGACTGTCACTTTAAAATTACAACATTAGTTCCATATCTTATGTTTTTCTGGGGCAGGGCCAATTTTTATGGTTCTGCTGTTATGTAGATCACCAAGTGTAATGCGGGTATGCCTACACTGCAAACACCGTCCCCACCCACCCCCTCAACAAACAAACAAAAAACAAAGCCTTATGGCAGTGATTCTCGGAGCTGGAGGTCAACTGACTCAGCCTTGTGGTAGGGGGCTAAAAAGAGCAGTGTAGATGTTCCCACTCAAGCTGGAGCCTGGGCTCTGAGAGTCTGTCTACACTGCAATTAAACACCCATGGCTGGCCCGTGTCCGCTGACTCCAGCTTGGGCAAGAGCCTGTTTAATTGTAGTGTAGGCATTCAGGCTCGGGCTGGAGCCAGGGTCTGGAACCCTCCCCCCTTGCAAGGTCCCAGAGCCCGGGCTCCAGCTCGAGCCTGAAGGTCTATAGGCAGTTAAACAGCCTTGTAGCTTGAGTCAGCTGGCATGGGGGTTTAATTGCAGCGTAGGCATACCCTGAGACCCATCCCCTTTGCCAGGTTTCAGAGCCTGGGCTCCAGCCCAAGCGGGGACATCTATGCTGCTGTTTTCAGGCCCACAGCGTGAGTCCTGCAAGCCTTATTCAGTTTGCCCTGGCTCTGACACTCGCTGGGGTATGTCCCCTTTCCCCCCAGTGTAGAAATACCCTGGTTTTTCCAAATTGATGTCAAAGGTCTGGTTCTTGTAGACTGTTACCCTTGGAGATTTCAATGTACACTCCAACATCGGCTAGGATTGTCTTGCACATGACTTCCAGAAAGTGATCTCTGTCTAGGCTTTGTTCTAAAGATATTGTATATGCTAAAAAGTTGAACGTGTGATCGACATTGTCTTGGGTTTATTTTTGATATTTCAAGTCTACCCTGCTAGGTGACCTTAACAATTAATTGGTTGGCTGTTCAATGACCACATCAACATTGGAGCTGGATTATTTAACTATAATTAGTGTTGCACAAGACTACCTGAATACTGGCATTGCCTAGTTTTCTAGACCTTGACTTTACAGCACTAATAATAATCTTCTAGTATCACTTTTTAGATGGTTTTCTTAAACAAAATTGAAAGCAAAAATTCAGTCATGTAACTGTTTGGTAGACAGAGGTGGATTGCTCCGTATCAGGATTTTTGTACTGTGTTCCAGTCTCTGGGAGAAGAGGGGATGATCTGATGGTTATAGCAGGAGACTGAGAGTTAGGATTCCTGGATGCAATTTGATTTTCTTTAATGATGCTTTGCATTTACAGTGTTCATTCATCTGTGATCAAACCTGCCAGTTTCCCTGATGTTTTACAGTCAGAGAGTCCCTTTGTCAGCTTTCTGCAGTGTTGCAGTGGCATGCTCCTATTACTTTAAAACGGTTTTTCCTCTCCCTTGCTGCTGTGTGAAAGACCCACACAAACAGGAAAAACGGTTTGTACTTAGTTAACTGTTTCCCCCTGTGTAGTCATTGTTGTCAAGTTCACTAAATAAACAAGAAGGGGAGGGATTTTTTTTCATTCTCTTTTTGGCTATAGTAATCATAGGTGTTATAATAGCAAATAAAACTGTTTGACATAAATTACCTTTTTAAGTTGGTGTCCTCTTAAGAAGGTGTTTTTTATTTTCTGTTGTACAGCACCTCAAGTTCTCTTTTAGGGGGATCAGACAGAAGTATCACATATGGAAAACTTTGGTAACGTTATCTCAGGTCATTTCAAAGAACTTGTGCTTTGTGCATTAGCACTTTAAATATATTTTATACTAAATCATACATAAAAGAAATACTCATCAATAAAATTCCTGTACCTCTAGAATTGATATACCTGTAAATATCCTGACATTGATACACAGCATTTCTAGTTGTAGAGTTAAAGAATTTCCTTGATAAATAACTGTTTTCTGCCTTTCATGGAGGCATTATAGCAGTTCTCACCTGCTGCTTATGAAACAATTCTTCCATTTGATTAAATGGAAGTAGAACCTATCGATTATGAGTACAAATCCTCGGTTTGAAATCATTTATACTTAATTAGTCATGGTAGAGACAATTATATATACTGTAGTTAGCGACTTGAGAGCTCTAAGGATGGTCCTGCTATTACCTCAGTTCACAAATTCAGCATACTCATCTTTTATTATTAAAATGCTGCTTACAGACTACCCCTGTATATTTCCAGGGGGATTTTTTTAAGGGATGCTGTCAGGATTGATTGTCCTAAAATTTGACTTATCTTGACAGCTTTCCAACACTTTTCCTTCAAGATTGCAGTATCTTCAATGTATTTTTGAGGGGGGGGGGGAAAGAGCAGCTATGCAGATTATCGTGAGATTCACAGTAAACTAAGAAGTCAATAAGGTGCAATTATCAAGGTACAGTTTTCTTGATGTTTATAGTCAGTGAGCTAAAAATGGAAATCTGGTGCTGTTCCTCATTAGTACTGGTACAATTTTCCTTATTTTCTTTGTTTGCATTAAAAAAACATCCAGTATTATTAATTATTGCTTTAATTAGATGGGGCTTCTCTGTTGCCCTAAAATAGAATGTGACTGCCTTTAAGTGTAGACATGCAGGTTTGACCTCGAGCACTGGGACTCCCCCACCTCATGGGATCCTAAAGCCCACGCTTCAGCCTGTGCTGAAACATCTACACTGCAGTCAGGATGGATTTGATTTAAATCACTAGTCAGGAAGACTCGATTTAATCATGAATTTCTACATAAAAGTGCATTCTTGTTGATTGTTATAACCTTAATACATATTCTTCACAACTCCAAGATAGATGTAGGTTTCATTTTTAGAAGGTACACACTATGCATTTTTAAAGAGATTTATTATGAACACTTTTCAGATTAGTTTTACAGCTATATCAGAAAATGAATGATTGTTTGGTTATTTCATTTACCAAAGGTAATAGAAGCAGATAGTTTGCCTCCCAATGACTTCATAAATATCTCCAATTCAACAGGTTAATCATTAATATTTGGAGGATTTTCTTGCCATGCTGTATTAGGAGGAGAACATCATCAGACAGACATTTCAATTGTTTTATTTAACTAAAACAACAACATTATGTGTTCTGGATTTTTTTCTTCAAACAGCAAACATAATATTTTAACAAAACAAACATATGAATTTTTTAATTTAATTAAATGTTCAAGTTTTTTAAAATCAGGTTTTTGTTAAAATTGTTTTAACTAAAATAGTTAAATGTAATTAAAAAAAAACCCAGAAATTAATTCCACTATGTCAGCCAGGTCAACATGTGAAACTTTAAATATTGGCATCTGCAGCTAACTCAGTTGTCTTCACCTTCATTTTCCTTTTTGTTCGTAATCTGGAAAAGAAAAACAAGTTTTCCTGCTTTTTCAGGTTCCAAACGATTTCTCAGTTTCGAATGAATTAGTCCAAAGGAAGAAAATATTCTTTCTACACCAACAGAAGAAGCTACGGCTGTTAAAAGTGAGATTATCACTTCAACAGTCTCTGAATCCAAGTGCTTAAGTGACTTCCACCAGTTCACTGGTATGACTTTCTTTAAAACATCATCAGCAAACATATTTCTTGAATGGTTCTTATTTCCAAACTGGGTCTCTTTTACGGCCTGCTATCTTTATAGATTTTCCCTTCTAGAGAGAGAATGGTATGGTAGATTTCAAATCAATGAAGGCTACACTCAGAAAGACCTCAAGACTTCTGGAATATGCTGCTTAAACAGTTTCAGTTTTGTTTCTACTGCCTGTCCCTCCCCTCTCACATTTATCTCCAGACTTCTTCTCCTTGTCCAGATCTATTCCGACAATCTTCTATTCATTGAACTTTTTGAAACTTTGCACTTTTAGAGGGAGGTAAGGGATTGACTCTGTACACAAATTTGCAGAGGGACAATAGGGTTGAGGTCTGTTATTTCTCACCTCTCTCTATATTTATTTATTTAAAAACATCTTTGCTGTTAGCAAGCATGTTATCTCAAATCCACAGTTTGAGAACTGCAAAACTAAGCATCTCTGATGGTATCTTCTAGACTGAGCACTGAGTCCTTTTGGATAGATGGAAAGATCAACCAAAAGAATCTATACAGAAACCCCTGGAGCCCCATAATCCATGAACTATTGGAACTCATTTACAAAACTTTTCTTAAACATTACATGAATATATTGTCTCATATTATAGAATTATAATTTATAATCCGTATTCCATTATGAGATATCTTTGAGCTATAATATATCTTAATTAAAACTATCTTTAGATATGTTTTTTCCTCAAAAACCATTTTATCCAAAAAAATCAGATTTAAATACAAAAAAATCAATTTTTGTTTTAAATCACTGATTTTTGTTCACCCTGACTGCAGTTAGATAGCCCGAGCCCCATTTAGCTGGCACAGGCCAGCCTGGTTTTTAAATGTAATGTAAACATACCCTTTATCTCTCTGTGCTTCACTTCCCTTTCTGTAAAATGAAGATAATAATACTTTTTCTTCCACACTTGTCTTGTGTATTTAGACTGTAAAATCTTGAGGGCAGGAACAATCCTGTATTAAGTGTGCATACTGCAGCTAATGCAGTGCTCTAGGAACCAGTGTAATGCAAGCTGTGGTGTATTGAAAACTGTTAAAATTACAAGCTATGCTTTAAGTTTTAAGGGGGTTTCGAGTCTTGGTTGAAGGTAAGAGTGCACATAGGGAAGCATGCAATCTAAATCTTCAGCAGTCAGTCTGTAAAAAGCCAGGTGGGTTGAATTATGCCTCTCTGCCTTAGGGCACAGCCTGCTTTGTGTGTGTGTGTGTGTGTGTGTGTGTTTTGATTCTTGTGTTTTATGGTTCCAGATTCAAAGAAGTAAAGTAGTGTTATCTTGCAACCTTTCAGCAAGTGTTTTTGTTTCAGTGTGTTTACCGGGATA